TGATATCGAAATTTATTATCTTGAAATTCGCAGGTGACTTTTATTTTTTTTAAATGTGAGTCAACCAGACCCGGCCTCCTCTAATTTGTACCCTATACGCACTGTAATTTCCAGCCCATTACCACCGATACATTTTACCTAAAATGTTGAATTAAATTTTTGAAGACCGTTAACAATTATAGCAAGACTTGATGCTCACCCAACTTTGCAATTTTCAGACTGTATGAGATATTTCGCTCACTAAGGATATACTAGAAGATAACGTTATATATATGCGTGTGTGTCTTTATATATTAGATTAGTATTCAAAACATGAAATTCATATGCCAAGAACAGTGGATACGTGCACACATTAACACTAAACAATATATTTAGAGTTTAGGATTGATAAAAGTAGCACGCAAATAAATCATCTGTTATACATATACACTGCCAGACGCCCTAAGCATAAAATAACGTAAGCGATATTTCTTTTCGAAGTAATGAACATGATACTCTTAGCAATAATGTGTGCTTTCCTGTTTAAAACGTAATGAGACAGAGGCGGTTGCTACAAGGAAAGACGGGAAGATTTACGAACTTCCAACTTCCAATAGTAAATCACATTTTTCAAAACGAACAAATGTGGGTTCTGAATCGCAAACATAATTGATAAGTCCTTACTCAAAATCAATATAAATATTAAGGAAATGTTAAACCAAGAATATAAGCGACACATAAAATGCTCGAGCACTTTCGAAGAGAGTCCTTCTTCCTTGAAAAAGAAAAACTTTTAATCTCCTGTCATATATAGGAATGTCCACGTTTCGAAAGCACTCCAATCTTTCGGCTTTAGGCAAGGAGGGTGCTCAAAATATACAAAACACGCCAATGCTCGGAATAGTTCGTTTCTTGACGTTCTTTATCACATTTCATTTTGGGGAAGTCAGAATCGTCACAAATTCTGAAATATAAACAGAGTAAAATAAATTTCAACTTCAAACAGTGTTAATATTGGATCTCAATCTAGCCACAATAAGAAACTGCCCAAAATGTAAAACCATCTGGTTTTAACTATTCGTTATTAGATGCAGAAAATATCAAAGAAGTAAAAAAAAAAAATACAATATAGGAACGACTAGAAAACCAATGACCATTATCTGGGATCCAGAATTCAAAATTAAGAAATATCCTAAACGTTTCAAATTAATAAATGGTTATCCATCAACTTAATTACATAAAGAAATACAAAATTTAGAACATAAAAATTGGAAAATCAACTAAACTAAAAATGTAAATAATAAAATTAACAGATTATATAGAATAGCCCTGGTTACTAACTAGGATATAGAAATAAAACACTCAAGGTAAAATTATGAAATTTCCGTTCTGTGTTTTTCAATCCAAAACACGTGTCATGGGAAACTTTAAATTTATTTGTTTGTTCTTAGTTAAGCACAAAGCTACGCGATGGGCTATCTGTGCTCTGGCCAACACGGGTATCGAAACCCGGGTTCTAGCGTTGTAAGTCCGCAAACATAACGCTGTGACACTAGGGGCGGGAAACTTTAGACAGGAAGAGAATGAGCTCTAATTGAATTAAGCTATATCTAGTTTCGAATTAAAATGGCAATGATTTTAAAATTACTTACACAAGCACTGCAGTTAAGCCAAAGTTAAGGAACAACAAAACAAACAACTGACTCTGATTGCAGTGGGGTTATTGATTAGCTTGCCGGACCGTGAATCTATGGGTCCACGGTCACCGTCCTGTTGCCACAAAATCGTGCTCCGCATTTCTGGGCTGTGCATGCGTTATAAGAATGATGGGCAAATCTCACCATTAGAGTAGCTAAGTATTGGCGCTGGGAGCTTTTAACTAGCTGAAATTCGTGTAATCTATCAGTTCGAAATTAGGGACGACCAGCACAGGTAACTCTTGTATAGCTTTGCGCGAATATCTCAAACAAACAAACAAACTGATTGCAGTGACGTAAGTCGTTTAAATCACGTCAACATGACTTCAGAGAGAATATTAGCCTTTATTTCGAGATGCAAACACGTTACTTTCTAGATGTCGTTATTAGCAGCTACTAAACACCACGACAGAACATGAAATCGATTTTACGAAACAATTAGTGAATAATTGTAATTTATAACATTATGATTAACACAAAGTGAAACAAATTCCAAGAACCTTACAGTGAAAATAAAGAAGAGCGTATTAGTCATTCAGTCTATAGTATATGTAGTAGTCCTACACAGCTGCCACTTTCAAGGGAATCACAGGTTTTGAACATTAGTCATTTAGTCTATACTATATATAATAGTCCTACACAGCTGCCACTTTCAAGGGAATCACAGGTTTGGAACACTAGTCATTTAGTCTATACTATATATAGTAGTCCTACACAGCTGCCACTTTCAAGGGAATCACAGGTTTGGAACATTAGTCATTTAGTCTATGCTATATATATAGTAGTCCTACACAGCTGCCACTTTCAAGGGAATCATAGGTTTGGAACACTAGTCATTTAGTCTATACTATATATAGTAGTCCTACACAGCTGCCACTTTCAATGGAATCACAGGTTTTGAATATTAGTCATTTAGTCTATACTACATGTAGTAGTCCTACACAGCTGCCACTTTCAATGGAATCACAGGTTTTGAACATTAGTCATTTAGTCTATACTACATGTAGTAGTCCTACACAGCTGCCATTTTCAATGGAATCACAGGTTTTGAACATTAGTTATTCAGTCTATAGTATATGTAGGCCCTTGAAAGTGGCGGCTGTGTAGGACTAAATCACAAGTTTTGATCATTAGTTATTCAGTCTATACTATATATAGTAGTCCTACACAGCTGCCACTTTCAAGGGAATCAGAGGTTTTGAACATTAGTCATTCAGTCTATACTATATATAGTAGTCCTACACAGCTGCCACTTTCAAGGGAATCAGAGGTTTTGAACATTAGTCATTCAATCTATATTATATATAGTAGTCCTACACAGCTGCCACTTTCAAGGGAATCACAGGTTTTGAACATTAGTCATTCAGTCTATACTATATGCAGTAGTCCTACACAGCTGCCATTTTCAAGGGAATCACAAATTTTAAACATTAGTCATTTAGTCTGTATATGCTGTACAAAGAAACATACAGTTAGAATAACAGAAGACAGCCAATCACAACGATCTGTTGCTAATAACTACTAATGTCTCAATGTATTGTTAGCAAAGTGTGTAACCGCTTCCTAACAAATAGTAGAGTATCTTGGGCCCCTGGACAAAGCACACCATTATCCACAAACACAAGCAAACGGTCACTAACACTCTTTATAGGTTACTACAATCATAGCAAACCTGCTCCTAGACTGAATCGAATGTTTACAGCTACAACTGGCTGCGATGTCAATGTACAAATGTTAGAAACAGACTCCATAAGGGCGGTCTGTATTTCAAACACCTATGAGTGGAGCGAAGGGAAATCATTTAACTGCTAAACAACCCAGGTCGTCAAACCAAAACACCTACCATGATAACGATAATAATAATGATGGCTAGTGGATGATGACGCCCGCCTCCACAATGCTAAATTGTTCGGCGCATTTATTCAAAAAGAGAGGACTGGCCGAATGAAGTAGCGTACACGCTTATCACACTTAAATCCCATCTAGCATCTATGAGATGCTCTTGGGAGACGCGTTGCATTACATCAAGTGGCTCTCGAAGCTAAAGATGCGTCGGAAGTAGTTTCTTAAAGAATTGATCGAAAATATTAGGACCTCTAATTTGCGTGTAACATCGGTGCTAGGTTGTCTTTTGTAGTTGTGGCGACAAAACTTCACGTAGAAGTGAGTTTGTTTGTTTGTTTGTCTGTGTACAAAGCTACACAATAGGCTATAGACACCCTGTCCATAGCAGAGAATCAAATACTGGGTTTTTAATATGAATCCGCAAACTTACCGATGACCTGCCTGGGGACCATACAATTGAAATATCATGTATTTGAAATATATAAATCAATTTCTATCAAATGTTCATGCACAAGTGTAGGCTGAATGCCCAATTTTTACATATCAAATCACGTGATGGATCATCACATGTCTAATTTGTATAACAGTGAGCTGAGCGGGAGAAGGGATAATTGCCAGTATTGTAGAAAAGTGGTTTCCTTTTGTCATAACTATAATATTACAAACTCTGTTTGTCTTTTAATGGTTTTGTGCAGTGTAGTAACAAAATGTAGATCAAAGAATAATTTTTAGTTTAAAATATACACCTAAAATAAAATCTATCTAAATTATTTACATTTTCGTTCATAAAAGTAACTATTTCTCATTCGTGGTTATCGTAACAAAATGTAAAATCCTAAACAATCCTCGTTGTATATACATTGTTAAGTTTGAGTTTCAAATTAACAATTATGAAACTGAGATAAAATAGAAAGGAGCTGCGGAAGGTGATTGACTTTATAACAATGATATTGCCTTGTCACAGCTGGTATATTGTTATTTTCAAGTATTTCTAACTGTTTGTACAGTGTGTCCTCTTCTACAATAATGATAGATAATTACAAATAACTCAACAGATATTATTGCTATTAAAGCTGTAATTGGACTTTTAAACAATTAAAAGTGTGTGTATCTTAACTCCATTTTCCAAACTACAATAAATACAATAATTAATGCTTCAACAGTGATATATATACGTATTGGATACTTAAACGAATTCGTGTTTTAATCATTATTGTGTCATTAATATCAATATTATAAAAACTCCTTAATGTTCAGTGTACCTTGATAATTCACTAGTCCATCACCATCCAAGTCGGCCTCCTTGATCATATCGTCTACGTCATCTTCTGTCAGCTTCTCACCGAGGTTAAACATCACATGGCTGAGTTCCGACGAACTGATGAACCCGTCCCCATTTCTATCAAATACCCTGAAGGCCTCACGCAACTCTTCCTCTCTGTCAGATTCCTTCATCTTTTTCGACATCATGAACAAAAATTCGTTAAACTCGTTTTATACCTTCAAATTCTACCCATAGGTAACGGGACAATCGTTTTATACCTTCAAATTCTACCCATAGGTAACGGGACAATCGTTTTATACCTTCAAATTCTACCCATAGGTAACGGGACAATCGCGCATTATCGTAACCTTAGAACAACAACTAAGCCTCATCCAGTATTTTTATGTGAAGTGATCAACAAGTTATTAGGGAAATGAACATTATTAAGGTAATTTTATGCAAACGACAACTTTAATTAAATACACATGCTTATCATGTTACCTGCTTTTTAAATTGTCCGGAATACTTGATTCAAATTGATCATTTAAGAAGCAGTTATTCTATAAAGTGTTTCTTGACATGAAACTCGTATATTTTGGTTTCTTTTTTTGCCTTGCTGGTGCACTATTAATAGATGATAAAATTGTGATAAGCAATACTAATGATACTAACGTATTATATAATCAGTCATGTGCTATAACTAATTGAAAACTGGGCACGTGGTATTTTTTTTTCATGTGAAATATATCCAGGTTGATATACAAGAATATTTACATACATTATCAGAAGTCTAGTAATGTGAAATATATCCAGGTTGATATACAAGAATATTTACTTACATTATCAGAAGTCTAGTAATGTGAAATATATCCAGGTTGATATACAAGAATATATACATACATCATCAGTAGTCTAGTAATGTGAAATATATCCAGGTTGATATACAAGAATATTTACATACATTATCAGTAGTCTAGTAATGTGAAATATATCCAGGTTGACACACTAGAAAATCCACATATATCACCAGTAGTCTTTTAGTGTGAAATATATACAGTTTGATATACAAGAATATCTACACACACACCACCACCAGTAGTATTGTAATTTGTAATGTTAAATATATCTAGGCTGATATGTATGTAACTGTTCTAGTATATCAACCAAGATATGTTTTACATTACAAATTACAATACTACTGGTGGTGTATGTAACTGTTCTAGTATATCAGCCTAGATATATTTTACATTACAAATTACAATACTACTGGTGGTGTATGTAACTGTTCTAGTACTACCAGTAGTATTGTAATTTGTAATGTTAAATATATCTAGGTTGAAATACTAGAACAGTTACATACACCACCATGTTAGTTTTTCTGATCAAAGCGCCACCTACCGTCTTGATCCACCATCTCAACCATATTATGCAGTTCTTTTTCAGTGGGATTTTGTCCAAGAGACTTCATGACGATTCCTACTTCTGTTTCTGTGATCCTGCCATCCGAGTCTTTGTCAAACAACATGAAGGCTTCCCTGAATTCTGATAGTTTAGATACAGGCCAAAGGTCACTAATGACGTAGCTTAACACGTGAAGAAATACTACCATTTACGTTTATATATCTTACCTTTTCGTCACAATTAAAATACATTCAATTAACTTTGTAAAAGATAACTAACTTATTACTTCAAAACATGATTTTGTATTTATTTTCATGTTCACATGAAACATAAATCATTCATGTTAGTCATATTTGTTCATATGTGAACATTTTCTCTAAATAATTTTCTTTCCCTCATAAAATGGCCGCCGAGTACAACATTAGTTGCAATAGACGTTGTATGTATAAAATTACACTCAGGATACAAATCCCAAAACAAGAGATTAGAAAACAACTGAAAAAAGTTAAAGGAACTTAAATACTCCAGTGTTTTACTGAATTTAAATGAGGGTAAAAATAAAATGAAATACGACAATGTTTCACTGAGTTAACTCAGTGATCGTAATGAAATATTTGAATGTTTCATTTCTTTCAACTATGTTCTAAACTGTTTCTAACTATCTTGTTTTATTACCCATGGTATCTGTTATATTTGAAAATGTAGAACAGTGCAGTTTGTACAAACACAGTGTTTTTAGTACATTTTGAAAATTCTTATTGCCTTGCCCTTTTTCAACTCTCAACTAAGGCTCTAAACTATGTAGCTATAGCAAATTCCAAGACCTTCATTCTCCCTGGGGATGTTTCTAAAATTAACACCTAGCTCAAATAGTGCTGCCTCACGTAAAATTGCCTTAAAAAATAGCGTTCCCTCAGCGTTTTGAAGTTGCTCGAAAGGTTTTCGAAGTTCACTAAAAAAATAAAGATATCAAATAAGTCTGTCTATTTCTAAGATTAGATGAAAATCGATTTTTTTTGCGGCGTTTAGATTTTTTTGTACCCTATATTTCCTCCATTGAAACACGATTAAACTCTAATGCATCAAATATGATATTTAACCACACTTCTGAGGAAGTAGATCTAGTAAAATTACTGTTTGGAAAAAAAAGATATCTAGCCTGTCCAACTGGACTGTGAATTTTTTATTAACTTTTATCTGCAGTAAAAATATACTGTTGATTTTGTGGATTTTTTTCACATTATTATTGTATATTTTTCATCCACAATCTAATTTGTGAATAACCTTTTATTTTTCCAAAAATATCTATATTTTCGTTTTCTTCATACACCTCTAATTTAAAGAAATTAACGCAGGCGCATTGAAGCCAAACTATATATATAATATAAATATATTACACTTAAGTTTAATATTCTAATACACGAAAGTCTAATTAAAAATGAGTTATTAGGTCGGAAGTTTCTAACTCTAATTAGCTATGCTAATTGGTTCTGCTAAAAACGGTCATTTTTGTACTCAATATAACAGGATAAACGTAAAATGTTCGTACCATTTGAACATGAAAAAGATACGCTTTAAAGTCGACTTATATTTAGTTGTTTTTTTTTATTTCTCATATTGATTAAAGAGCGCGTTTATGATTTTAGGGATAGATCAAACAAAATCTACATAGCTGTTATAGAGAGAAGTAATTGATAAACATAGAGTACTTAGGATACCCAACCTATCCATAATGTTCAATTGGTAAAAAACAGATGATCAAATCTATAAATATAGCTTGACTTATAATGTTTTAGCTAAATGTAACTTGATAGAATAATAATGATTATTATTAAAAGTGCTGAAAAAGTCATGAGATAATGAAAATATGAACATAAACTGGGTTTTACAGACTATCAATACATTATAGGGGCAAATGAATGTGCGTTAAAGTGTATATCCTAGTGGATTAAGTTTAAATAGTTTTAAAAACAAATATAACAGAGTGGGTAATTGCTTTCAAGGTAAGAGTACAACACTATTTTATACAAATTTACTTTTTTTTCCATTGGCTATACAAGTACACTGACCGGCAACTTTATATGGACTTTGACCTAACATCATATTGGATCACTTTTACCGTAGTAGTACAGCGTAGCGTAGACACCACGCGATACCGAAGAGCCTGTTGCTCAATAGTCTATATGGTAGCACATTCATCAAGGACGTGGATTTGGTTCATATACGTATGTCAGCGGACCCAAATGTGCTTAACCAGAATGAGATCCATATGTTGTTTTGCTCTGCGAACCGGTTTCGGACAGCGCGAACATGGAATTTTGTTGTATTATCACCTTGGAAGAACCCTTGCTTACTATAGTAGAAGTGTGACTTTGTAGGATGGGCAACAATAATCATTTACACTGTAGATGTACTTTGTAGGAGGGGCAACAATAATCATTTACACTGTAGATGTACTTTGTAGG